TTGATTGTTATGTTTATGCGATACTTGTAGTAAAACCTTTGATTTCACCTTTATCCTAAAGTTCAGCGTGTGCACTATTGTTTTTGAAGAAAATTTGTTTGACAAGTATTAGAGATTTAAATTCAAATTATTAAGTATTTTTTGCAATATTTAAGTGCATCCTATATATTTGTACTGCTATCTGTATGATATTCTGTTTGCCTTATTTTCAGAGAGTACAAAATTTACTTGTATATTTATTTGATATTCATATGCAGTTCGACATGCGCTAGTTGCATGCAAAATTGACTACTAATCAATAAGACAGACCATTTACATACCAGTTATATTAAGAAGATGAGACATTTCAGGGTGTCCACTCTTTTTTATGCTCCACCTAGGGGCATTATGTTTTTCGGTCTGTGCGTCTGTTCGTCTGTCCGTCCGTCTGTCCCGCTTCAGGTTAAAGTATTTTGTCAAGGTAGTTTTTGATGAAGTTGAAGTCCAATCAACTTGAAACTTAGTACACATGTTCCCTATGATATGATCTTTCTAATTTTATTGCCAAATTAGAGTTTTGACCCAGATTTCACTGTCCACTGAACATAGAAAATGATACTGCGAGTGGGAATCCTTGTTCTATGGACACATTCTTGTTATTCTCTGAATTTGAGATGTTGCTTATTCAAAATTTTCTTAACATTTTAGGTATAAATGAAAGGAGATGTGGGGATATTCATCGATTAGACAGCATTCAAACGACAGTTATAACATAAATTATGATATTTTGGTAGATTTTACATATAATAGTAGTGGATAACTTTGCTGTTTCATTTTTTGGCGTTTTTTTTTTTTGATTTTGGCATAAAGTAGGTTTGTGCTTAATTAGTTGTATCAGCCTAATAATAATGTCATGAATGTAAAGTTGGTATGGTTTTGACACTTGAATTACTATTATGAAAATAAGTAGAAAAAGTTAATACAAAAATAATAGTATTGATAGATTAGAATATATTTAATAGCAATGATTTCATAGTAGAACTGAGGGAGAAGGGTAGATTATATTTGAGGTTTACATTGTTACAGATGGTTTGTTCACGTTTCTCCAACATTTGAAAATTAGACTAAAACAACATTAAGGATTAGGGGATCCTCTTAAGGACTGGTATCTTGATATTTACCTGTAATTCATCTGTATCAGTTCTTAACTAAAATATTGTAAAAAGTGGTATTGTTTTAAGATCATATATATTTAAACATTAATAAAAATATATTTTTTCTTTTACAATAATTGGTTTTTCATATATTTTTGGTTGAATATAACCCGAAAATAATATGTTATTATTTATATCCGTTTTTGAATAACAACATTAAAAAGTTATTCAACAAAAACAATCCATAAATAAATAAGGAAAATTCAAACATTTCTACTTCAACTTTGAAAATTTCATAAAAATTTATCAAGATATAATCTCAAAACTATTTTTTAAAAAGAAATGAATTTTAATTGAAATAACATGAAAATTGAAATGTTCTTTGACTGTACCTCATTCTGGTAATTTATTCTATTACTTGATATGTTTTAGTATTTGTGTTACATGTAGATGTCCAAATCTAAAATGCTGTTCAACAACGAAGTTTTATGTACGTATATAGTCATTGAAAGCTGTTGTCTTCTACTGCGAAGACCCATATATGATCTACCTGGTCGTTCTGTTTGTGTATCATAAGAGCAGAAGTCAATGTACTTGGCATGCTGTCTTAAGCAGATGGAAGAGTCAGTCGTATATCTGTTCACTTTTTCCACGAAAGAGGGAGAATACAAATTCGGTACATCACAACGTGAACTATAGCGTGTTTAACTGAGGGAACTGGCTTACTGAATTGTGAGCTACAAATGTACTCCATTTGTCACGTAAGCTTTGGACAATTAATGCAAGCTGACTAAAAAATTTAAAAATACTACATCTTTGATAATAAGCAGCGTTTGGTACTTTTATATAAGTTTAATGACTCAAGCTATTATGAATTCTTAAAAGCTCTCAGAAAATGTGTATTTTTATTCAAGATCGCAACATTGTAATCAATAATACATTATTATGGAAAATAGAGAAAATCTTGGGGAAACTATTTTTTTTTAAATATAAAAACCAATTATTGTAAAAAAAATATATTTTTTGTTGATATTTTACAAAAAATCTTAAAACAATAAGTACCCTTTTAATAATATTTTAGTTAAGAACTGAAACAGGTGAATTATAGGTAAATGTCAAGATGCAAGGACCCCCTAATCTTTAATGTTGTTTTAGTCTAATTATCAAATGTTGGAGAAACGTGAACACACCTTACAAAATTATACTGATTCGGTAATCAAAATGACTTATTAGTAACAATGTCTGATCATAATTAATGTAACTGTTTCTATTTTCATTAAATCAAATTGAATTATGCATGGACTAATTTTATTATTTTATTATGATCTTAACTGAGAATACTTTATATATGATAATTGAAAAATCTTGCATTGATCTTTTGGTGAATATTTTATTTTGTTGTGTTTTTATTTTGGCACTTTCACCTTGGAATGTTTTTTTTTGTTAATTGAAAAATGCAAGGACAAATAGTTTTCAAATTCAAAAGTCCAGGAATTGCTTTCTATCACTCAGTGCAATTAGAGTATTTTCTTCTGAGTGCAATGAAGCCGTATACTGAATGTACTTGCTGCAAAGGTTAACCAATTAAACCTTACTGATAAAACATCTGTTAAATAGTGTCTAACAAGTAATAACTTATATTACTAATGCTAAGTATAGTAACATCCTTCATATGTCGTCATTCTACAGTGACAATTTGTCAATTATTGCCTTGTTTTGGACATTTATTTCAATTTGAGTATTACATCACAACTTCACCTTGTAAGAATATTTGGTTGATATATAACTAAGGGGAAACAATTTTGATTTTCATTTATTGGTTATTGATTGGCTAATATGAAAATGATAAATGTGGTTATTGATCTCTTCATATTTTTTGGCAAATGGCAGGATGGAAAATATGTGGTTATTGTGGTGTACTTGTTTACCTCATAAAACTGTTACATAATTATGAAAATCAATTTAGAAGAATTAAGTCCCAGTAATATATTCTGTTTTTTTTTTTAATTATTTTTTAGTTTCTCCATCAACAAGTAAAAAATATATTTAGGTTTTTGTCTTGTTTCAAACTAAGCTTGCTATTGTGGATTCATTTATTTTCATGAGTTCAAATTTTTGTGGATTGAGGAAAAATTTAATCTTCATGGATATTTGATTCCTTGGTTTGCCAAAGTATGCATAAAAGCTTATAGAAATATACCCATGAAATCAGAGAAAATTTGTATCCCAATAATTGTAATAAATCCACAGGCACAGAAGAAACACTTAAATTAAATTTCACAATAGCAAGGATTTCCATGAACATTTATTTTTGTCTCTTAATATTCCTAGTTTTTGTCGAGCCTGTGACAAAAGACTTTTGTCGCAGAAAGCTCGACTTATGGATAGTGATCTGGCGGCATTGGTGGCGGCGGCAGCGGCAGCTTTAACTAACTACTTAAAAGCTTAATATTTCAAAAGTGGAAAACCTGGATGCTTCATACTTTGTATATAGATGCCTTATGTTATGAAGTTTCCGTCTGTCATATGTCCATTGTCCTTGACCTCATTTTCATGGTTCAGTGACTACTTGAAAAAAAAGTTAAGATTTTTTGTAATGTTAATTTCTCTCTAATTATGAGTAATAGGATAACTATATTTGGTATGTGAGTACCTTGCAAGGTCCTCATGCCTGTCAGACAGTTTTCACTAGACCTTGACCTCATTTCATGGATCAGTGAACAAGGTTAAGTTTTCATGGTCAAGTCCATATCTCAGATACTATAAGCAACAGGTCTACTATATTAGGTATATGGAATGAACGTAAGGTGTACATGTCCAACTGGCAGATGTCATCTGACCTTGACCTCATTTTCATGGTTTAGTGGTTAAAGTTGAGTTTTTGTGTTTTGGTGTGTTTTTCTAATACTATATGTAATAGGTCAACTATATTTGGTGTATAGAAATATTTTACGATGAACATGTCAGTCTGGCAGGATTTTATTTACCTTGACCTCATTTTCATGGTTCATTGTTAATGTTAAGTTTTTGTGTTTTGGTCTGTTTTTCTTAGACTATAAGCACAAGGTCAAATATATTTGGTGTTTGGAATGATTGTAAGGTGTATATGTCTGTCTGGCAGGTATCATCTGACCTTGACCTCATTTTCATGGTTCATTGGTCAATGTTAATTTTTGTCGAGCCTGCGACTTTTGTCGCAGAAAGCTCGACATAGGGATAGCGATCCGGCGGCGGCGGCTACGGCGGCGGTGGCGGCGGCGTTAGCTAACTTCTTAAAAGCTTTATATTTTAGAAGATGGAAGACCTGGATGCTTCATACTTTGTATATGGATGCCTCATGTTACGAAGTTTCCGTCAGTCACATGTCCAATGTCCTTGACCTCATTTTCATGGTTCAGTGACTACTTGAAAAAAAAGTTCAGATTTTTTGTAATGTTAAATTCTCTCTTATTATAAGTAATAGGATAACTATATTTGGTATGTGCGTACCTTGCAAGGTCCTCATGCCCGTCAGACAGTTTTCACTTGACCTCGACCTCATTTCATGGATCAGTGAACAAGGTTAAGTTTTCGTGGTCAAGTCCATATCTCAGATACTATAAGCAATAGGTCTAGTATATTCGGTGTATGGAAGGACTGTAAGGTGTACATGTCCAACTGGCAGGTGTCATCTGACCTTGACCTCATTTTCATGGTTCAGTGGTTATAGTTAAGTTTTTGTGTTTTGGTCTGTTTTTCTTATACTGTATGCAATAGGTCTACTATATTTGGTGTATGGAATGATTGTAAGGTGTACATGTCTAGCTGGCAGGTGTCATCTGACCTTGACCTCATTTTCATGGTTCAGTGGTCAAAGTTAAGTTTTTTATAATACTATATGCAATAGTTCAATTATATTTGGTGTATGGAAATATTTTATGATCTATATGTCAGTCACGCAGGTTTTATTTGACCTTGACCTCATTTTCAAGGTTCATTGCTCAGTGTTAAGTTTTTGTGTTTTCGTCTGTTTTTCTTAAACTATAAGCAATAGGTCAACTATATTTGTTGTATGGAAGAATTGTTAGCTGTACATGCCTGCCTAGCATGGTTCATCTGACCTTGACCTCATTTTCATGGTTCATTGGTCAATGTTTAGTTTACTTGGTTAATGTTAAGTTTATGTGACAGTTGTAATAAAGCTTTATATTTAGGACTATCAACATAATATCAATGATTAGTAAAGAAGGCGAGACATTTCAGCGTGTGCACTCTTGTTCCTGTTTAAGTTTGTTTCTTAGATACTATATGCAATAAGTCAACTAAATTGATCCATTGAACGATTATAAGGTGTATATGTCTGCCTGGCAGGGTTCATCTGACCGTGACCTTATTTTCATGGTTCATTGGTCAATATTAAGTTTTCATGGTTTGGTCTGTTTCTTGTTTACTATAAGCAATGGGTCAACTATATTCAGTGTATGGAATGATTGTAAGGTGTACATGTATTTCTGGCTTGGTTTATCTGACCTTGACCTCATTTTCTTGGATCATGTTAAGTTAATGTGATACTTGTAGTAAAACTTTATATTTAGGACTATCAACATAAAATCAATGGTCAATAAAGCAGACAAGACATTTCAGTGTGTGCACTCTTGTTTTTAAATATGAAGAGAGAATAGAGTGAACATTTTTGAAAACTAAAACTGGATTTTGATGAACTCACATATGAACAATATGACAAGGGGGATACCCGTCAATGAGACCGTAATACAAATCAAAGGTTAATGAAAAAAAACATCTATTCATCTTAGGGGCCAGCTGAACCCTGCCTCTGGTGCAGGATTTTCTCACTGTGTTGAAGACCCATTGGTGGCCTTGGGCTGTTTTCTGCTGTTGTCTCTTTGACACATTCCCTGTTTCCATTCTTAATTTTATCTGCATGTGAAAATCATGTGTGCGTGTCTTTTTGTAATCTATAGTAGTATGCCGTTATTTTAGTGTTAAGTGCATTACTTGTACTTAGTTTTATTGTGTATCATTAATCTTTTCAGAGGTTGTCACATGTCAGATTTCAATATTTTTTGTTGGTTTTGTATTTTGTGAATTTGGTGTTTTTGGGGATTTTTGATATTGCAATAGTAGAGCTTGATTTTCCTCCTAAAATTTCATCTGTTCAAGCTGTGGGTACAAACTTGGGATCCCTGGCACAGTAAGTCCCTCCTCAACTCATGCAGCCAATGAATTGCAGTTATATTTGTACTAGGTCAAGGGATGCACCATTATACTTCCCAACATCAAGAGTCATTTTACCATAATGACAATTTCCAACATCAAAGCCTAGCTAGTATCTAAATCTTTTTTTACCACCTGGGTTATTCAGTTGGATTCCAAATATTAGCAGTTAGGCATTATTTTCCACCCGAAACTACATCTGCCAGGGTATCGACTTTTAATGTACATGTGTTCTCATCTACCTAAGTTATAGTAGAGCATTGGCTTACTATGCCAGTGATTCCTGGTTTGTACTCCATCTGGTTCAGTGATTATTTTAGAGGAAATAATTCATTACTGTTACAATATTCTCTGGTTAATTTATTCACAACTTTTTTACACTATGTAAAGATTTAGAGTTTGATATTTTGTATTGGCTGTCATTGTCTTTAGATGTTTTTTGTTTATTTGAATACTGTAAATTCAGAAATTATTGTGTGCAATTATTATTGTGATTTACAAAGAATGGACAAAAATGCCAGATTAATTATTGCGTTTTGCAGGAAAATATGCATTAAGATATATGTATCAGATATCAGAATGCGAGTACTTATTACTGGGATACTCACCCAGTCGCATTATTCACATAAATTAAAAACCTGGCAATAATTTCTGAATTTACAGTATTTGGGTTTCTATCTGATTGTTGTATACCCCACACCTCTTTTTATTCCTTGAATATACATCTATCTTGAAAACAACTAGAGTATAACTTGTGCATGTTACAAAGAACCCATTTAAATTGTTGAATGTATAATTTAAGATTTCTGATGCACAATTTGCTTAAAACATTTGCACTGGAAGACAAGTGCTAACAGTACTGAATTTGAAATATGGCAGCTAGAAGGCCAAACTAATATTATAATAATTATCTTTACATTGCATCCTAAATTCTTATTTTATAATTGATAATTTTAAAGAATCTAGGAGGAATTACAATAGAATTGTTTATTTTGAATATTGCCAAAATCAGCCGTAAAAGCCTTGGATACTTCATCATAACGTTCATTTTGAATTTTTTACAAGGGTCATTTAATTGTTTACATCATTTTAGACCCTGTTTACTTTAGTAAAAAAGATCAATCTTTAGTCTAATGTAAACGGGAAAGATCGATCTTTAGTCTAATGTAAATGGGAAAGATTGATCTTTAGTCTAATGTAAATGGGAAAGATTGATCTTTAGTCTAATGTAAATGGGAAAGATTGATCTTTAGTCTAATGTAAATGGGAAAGATCAATATTTAGTCTAATTAATGTAAATAGGAAAGATCGATCTTTAGTCTAATGTAAATAGGAAAGATCAATATTAGTCTAATGTAAACGGAAAAAATCGATCTTTAGTCTAATGTAAATGGGAAAGATCGATCTTAAGTCTAATGTAAATGGGAAAGATTGATCTTTAGTCTAATGTAAATGGGAAAGATCGATCTTCATTCAGACTTTAAAAGTCCATATCCTGAGGTGGTTTTAAAAAGATCAATCTGAAGTCTAATATAAATGGGAAAAAGCGATCTTCAATCAGACTCCTGAGGTGGTTTTAAAAAGATCGATCTTTTTTTAATCAATTTATCTTCAAGTGTAAACGATTAGATCATTTGCGATCGATCCTTATAAAAGTGAAAGTGTTATATTTAGATATGAAAATAAATCTGTGCATGCATGGTAAACTTGGTATATCCTAATAAATGTCTGCCTCTAGGAGTTTCATCCATATTCTACAATAATTTGACAGAACATGAGGATAAGACAAGTTAACAAAGAAATATATTCCGACATTTTTGCTAATATTGATTACAATAAGTAAATCCTATTTCTTTTCAGCAAATTCCTCATCTACAAACGAAATGACCTTCTCTTATAAGTGATAGTCTTCTCACATTTCTTTGTTTAATGACTTGTGAAATGTGAATCAAAAAGATAATTTATAATTGCATAAGTGATTCCAATGACCCAACTATTTCCTGAAATGCACATGTTATCATATTCTATTTATTATGATTTTTTGTTTTACAAAATGCAAGGTTATTAGGTCAGACTGATTCTTTTTATATTGCAGTGTAAACGCACTAGACTTAAAAAGATTGGTTCAGATGCTTGTGCAAATGTAAACACCAACTGGTCTTTTTAAGATCAATTCAAATAAAGATCTGTTCAATGTTGTGCAAGTGTAAATGGGGTCTAACATAACTTTTAAATTTGAAGCTCCACTTTTCCACTTTTCCTGCATAAACAAGGGACCTGAAAGACACTGGAGCATCAATATAGACAACCTGACTATACAAAGACTAATAAGTCTTCCTAACTGGCTTTAAGGAAAAACATTCCCTGGGATATATTCTTATACAGCCAACCCATTATGTTTAGGTAATAATTATTTCATTCAGGAATTCAGGAAGTTTTTATTATAAAGTTCAAATGATTTGTCTTCTTTTAAGATTTACAGAAAAATGTAATGTAAGACCAATGTTTAATTATCTGGATCTGATTGATAACAATGGTGATAAAAGTATAATTGAGACCTGTGTTTCCCTAGATCTATATTTACTTTTTCTTTTTTGAAAAGTTTATTATGTAAAAATAGGAAGATGTGGTATGATTGCTTCTTATAGGTATTTAGTTTAAAAATGTCAAGTAAAATTGAGATATTTTCTTAAAATTTGGCATCGTTTAAAAATTTTGATAAAATATTTACCCTAGATGACTTGGAAGTATCAACAAGGAGATGTTCTTAATTTTTTTTGACAGTTTTGTCCAAATCTACATTCCAACTTATGATCTCCAAAAAACGACAGTTAATTCAAACCTTAAGTTATGCTGCTGCCAGTATTTAGTCACAGACAAAGTGGCAGAGGAGTAAGCACTACTCATTTAGCCAATCATTAAAAACAACAATAATTAAATGATAAATATTAATACTGTACTCTTAACATATCCTGGTCGTATCTAGATTTAGACTGCTACAATACAATAAAATATGCCAGATAAACATGTTGTTGACATGGCATGTCACTTTGATGTTGTGTACTCTGATAATAACATCATAGGAAGAAATATTTTAAACTTAGGTGCAGTTTATTCTATAGATTGCCAAAAAGTATTGAAACTTGACAGGAATAAGGAAGGAAATGAGAATATGTAAAGATTTTAGTTATATTTAGGTCATATAAAATTTAAAAAATCATCCATAGATTTAATTAAATAATTTTTATACCTCGTAAAAATTTTGACGGGATGTACTATGGTATACAAATGTCCGGCATCTGTCTGTCTGTCTTTCCGTCTGTCCGGCGTCCACATGTCGCACCGTAACTTGAGAACGACTTATCCAAATTTCATGAAACTTAACATAGTTGTTTCTTATGATGGTCAAATGATCTGTATACTTTTTGGTGAAAATAAGATTAAAACTTTTTGAGTTACAGGACTTTGTAACTAAAACAGGGGGGTGTTTTTTTTCACATGTCGCGCTGTATCTCAAAAACGATTTATGATTATTGCTTAAAACTTTACATACTTCTTAGTTATATTAATCTAGAGATCTATATACTTTTTGGTGATAATTCAAAATTTTATTTTTATTTTTAAGGTTGATTGGATGCAGGTACATTTTTTTATAATTTTAAATCAAGAAACTGGATGAATAACACTTTCAAGAGCTAATTAAGTAGACTAAATATTTTTTTCCAATTAAATTGAGTTGACCTTATTCAAAGGGGGT